GAAGCTTATGTGGATAGTTGCGTACCATGGAGGGCGGGTGGGGTGTGGGGGGTGTTGGGGCGCTTGTTAGAAAATCCGTTCAGAGCAGTTTTCCTGGCATTGTTAAAGAGATACACGCACTGGAGAGAGATTCCGGTCCCGCAGTTTCCGAATACAGCCGTCGAGTTTCCGAATACGAGTTTCCGAATACAACCGTCGAGTTTCCGAATCCAAGCGGTCAGTTTCCGAATACAACCGTGGAGTTTCCGAATACAACCGTCTCAGTTTCCGAATACCAGTTTCCGAATACAACCGTGAAGTTTCCGAATACTAGTTTCCAAATACAACCGTGCAGTTTCCGAATACCACCCTTCCAGTTTCCGAATACAACCGCTTCAGTTTCCGAATACCAGTTTCCGAATACAACCGCGCAGTTTCCGAATCCCAGTTTCCGAATACAACCGTTCCAGTTTCCGAATACAACCGCCGAGTTTCCGAATACAACCGTGGAGTTTCCGAATACAACCGCGACCAATGAGGTAGTGGTGCGATAATGATTGCCCAGGTCCACCATCTGGACCACTTGGCAATATGCTGATGTGCTTTATCAAGCCATATCAAGCCCATGGGTATGTGTTTGAAGGCAACACCTAGCGGCTGCCCCCGAGAAAATTTAGACTCAACTACCTCAGGGTTTGTATTGCCGTATTGCCTGTATGGAGCAAAAGTATGTGTCTTGCCTGTGTGGTTATGTTTGGACAAAAGAAACAGGGCAGCGCAGAGCTAGTGCGCTGTGATACGGCCAGGATGCCAAACGACCTTGCTATTTACAGTTGATTTTAAAGTTGTTCTTTCAACTTTCAATGATGCAGCATCGAGCAGACATGTATGGGTATTTTTGCCGGGCAGCGACTAGGCAGATTGCAATAATGAGATACAAATTCCTTGCACGGTAACAGGTTTGGGGGATTTTCTTGCCGATCTGTTTGCCGCTCTCTAACTCTCCAACCCACACTGTTCGTTTCTTGTTGTGTGTAGAAAACCCAAATCTTATGGAAAGCTCTGTGGTTTTGACCAGAAAGACTCCCAAAAAATAACACCGCCCAGGCCCTGTTTTTTTTCGTGTTTGTTTATCATCTTCTCGGGTGCCACCTGGATTGGGCGGAAGTAGGGTCGGTTTTTTAAGGGCAGAAGGTTTGGCAGACAAAAGCTGGGAGGATGTGGCTTTTGTTGTTAGAAAAGGTTGCATCAACGTCTTGGCTGGATCAAGTGAGCAACTTGTTTAATGCATTGGACCATTTGACCGGAGCGACCTGATCCATACGAACGGGCCGCACCCATGGAACCAATCTATATACCTTTTCCCACGCAAAGGGCCCTGTTCCAAATTCTACCTACTTGGTGATACTCCCTAGGGCTCCAACCATATCCTCAGAGCGTGGTTAGACCCCGCTGGCACCCACCCAACCACCGAACCTCAGGAGGTGGGCCAGGAGCCCTAGGCACTAATCAATTGCGATGTTTGGTCGAGTTGGATTCTAGGGGGCCTGGCGATTTCGCTGGGGCCACGACATGATGTTCACATCAAGTTATATACAGTGGGCCATCAGAGGTTCGATGGCACGTTTCCCCCATGATGTCCTGAACAGATGGGGGTCCATATCCACCACCGACATTGGGGTCTGTGATGGTCTGTGTCATCTACTCTCAATCCACTATAGTATTCTGGGTGCGCTCTAGAAATCGATCCAGAGAAATTCATCCATTGATTAATTGGTGTTTTTTTGGGGAACCCTGGTACCTTCAAACGTAGGGACCGATTGCTCCGTTGCAGTATGAAGAACTTGGGTGACCTCTAAGAAACTAGAAGATTGATGGAAGGGAAGGATTGTTGCTGCAATATTACTGCCATTTGTTGGCGTAAATAGTGTTTTGCTGGTTTTTTGCAACCATGGCTGTGGCTTTTGAACCCCATACACCTTCCCACTGGGTATGAGGGACACCCGGTGTCGACGTGCGTTCCTTCGGGCCGAAGGCTGGCAAACAGAACTCATCGGCCACCTGCTGGGAGCTCCGGAACGTGCGCCGATGCCCGAGATGTCTCACATGCAAGGCCTGGGTCCAGCAAAGGCCATGTTTAACAGGGGTTAAACAAGTGGTTTCAATGAGTAGATGGCACAATCCCCTAAAGGTGGTTTACAATATATGACATATATATATATATATATGGACCCCATCTAAAGATTCTAAATGACACTTTAGGGGTTGTGCCATCTACTCTGAAACCACTGTAGATCAACGATCATATCCAGAGTGGCGACACTTTGGAATTTATAAGTGAGCACTCAGCGATCGGCGCTGGAAAGTAGACACAGATAAACACAGATGAGCAACTAAGTCCAGGGTTGAGAACGGGGAAGACAAACAAACACATTGAGTCATGAGTTGTTCTTTTGTAGCTCAGGCATGGAGTGCTTAACGAAGACTCAGTCAGTTTGCAATCGAGAAGGCACCGGAAACGCATGGATTTTCGCGTAAGCGGTCGCGTACGGATGGCGTAAGAGCACTGGTCCATAATGACTGGTAGCCCACGCCCTGCCATGCCGCCTCCTCAAAAGATCTGCAGTGGAGGCAACATACTTCTCACTCTTCATCAACGTAATCATTTGCTTCGTCCACATGTTCTTGAACCTTAGCTTACGGTGTGACCGTGTGAAGTCTGCAAACTCTGGGCTTGCGTAAGCTCTTGCCTACCTGCCTGCCGCGTAAGACCTTTTTTCTGGCTCGCGTAAGGATTGCGCAACCTCTAGAAGAAGACACATATACCCTCAAACCTTAGCAAGTTATTTCAGGGGTAGGGTCACCTACCGTACCTGAAATATCCTAACATACTTTCTATATAGCTACTGGTTTCACAGTGGGGGTAGGTACCCCTTCTGACCGCAGGCAAATAACTTCATATGTTGGCAGAGGCTTTGGACATGATCTGTGGAGAGAAATTTGATACACTGACAGACATTGAATTTTGAAGAGTGTGCTCTATATTTTTACTAGATGAACTGGCATTTGAATACACTATATATATATATATTCTAATTGCATGGTATATTCTAAGACCAATGCTGGATTTAAAGCAATTAACAAATATATTTTAATTGCGCTTTAGTGTATCCTAAGTGTCCGTCCATCATTCTACATACTTTGCATGGGGGACACCAATGAAATAATTCCACAAGTTTGTGCCTTGGCACGGGTTCTTTTCCTGTGCCAACACCGTTGAAATATTTGATAATTGTTGCAGGTTGGGGAGCTTCTGGCTTCTCATGCTACTGTATGGCATCTACACCACCCTACCCTAAGGCATAGGGAGTGAACCCCTGAAACGATGGGTTTGACGGTTTTTCCGAGACCCGGGGCACACGACGTGCCCCAGGCGATCCCGGAGAACATGGACGCAGCTTTGCCCTTTGGCACCGGTTTCAACCGGCACCGGTTTCAGAGGTTCGATGGCGCAGCCCTAGGGTGGTCGTTTTTGTATATATAAGGGGGTCCACATAAACCACCTTTTGGGGATTGCCATCTACTCTGACCCCACTGTAAGTAGGCGGTCAACGTGCAGGTGTGGTGGTTCATCAGTGGGTTCCACGCATCAAACAGAGAGGCCAACCATCTGTCAAAGGCCCCCATGCAAGGAGCATAATTATGGCTGGTGCGTTTCGATTCCTGAGTCAGGGAGATCAGGTTTTGATATATTTTTCCTTTCTGAGGGGGCCATTTTCTAGCTGCTCTAGCTGCAAGTGCTAGAGACCGGTTCCGACTTCCAAACGGAAACGTTTTGCAAACCCAGTCAGTGAATGACATGATCGAATGACCAATCCACCAACCATACGATCCCTTATCGACCACGGTTTCGCGTCCAGTGTCACGTCCGGAAGACATGGCGAAAAAGGCACATGTGTTTTCCCCGTGGCCCCCTTTTAGTCAGGACGGGTTGGCACGATGACCGGACCAGGTTGTTGACTTTGGTTTGTTCGGGATATTGGAGTCGCTGCACCAGCTGACATGCAACTCTACAAGCCGTGCTTTTCTTTGCGCAACAACAGCGGCGCAGTTTTTTTGGAATTATTATTGTTTTACCGTGTTTTTTTGGTTCGGGGTCTTTAGGCTTGAGGGAGCCAATCCACCCATTATAAATATTGAGTATACCAATTTTTTGTTGTGTTGTGTTTTTTGGGGTTATGATTCTTCAATGAAAGCCAGCCGGTAGGCTAGGCTGAAGTTAGTTGCAGCGGACAAAGTGAGCCATCAGGGGCTGTTTTTTTTTGTACATGTTTGTTCACCATGCTGCACCCATGTTGGGTGAGCTAGTGTTTTCATGAGCAACGCTTTTCGTCTACATAGGTGTGTCGATGTTCATTTTCTTCACATCGTCCAAAACGGGACACCTGTTCGGGACACCTGTTCTCAAAGCCTTTTCGCCGAGTAAGTGGTACAACCAGGGGGGATTGGATGCTGGTTTCCACTGGCCTTTTTCTACCGCTGTCCGACGGCCAAAAAAAGCAGCACCCCCCCTCGACCGCTTCACGAGAACGGTCGGTTGGGCGGAAGCCCAGGCATCCTTCGACTATCCCTGGCGCCCTGGCGAGATGGACCTGTTGCGCATGGCCAACCGGGCAGATCCTTGGCTGCCGCAGCTGGATGTCCAGCCAGATGGGGTATCTTCCGGCGATCACAGGCAGTTCTCGGAGACCTGTGTGATGTGGCTCTGAATTGGCTGAATCTTGGACACTGTCGTCAAGAACTCCAAGGAAGTTGACGTTTTCAGAGCATCAGGGGAGTTGGACAGGGGGCCTACCTTGGGGGACACCAAGAATCCCTCACTCAAGCTTACATGTCTTCAGAAGAAGTCATGGTTTGTACCGTCTTCCCCTTCCTGGCAATCTTAGCATTTGTCTTTAAACCACGTCTGGTGGCACCGGCTTAAGCTACAGAAGACTTGGGAGGCCGAATCCGATCCTCGTGGCGTGGCATGTTCCGGTCTCGTGGTTCGAACAAATCGATCCGATTCTGCGGGGGCCCAATGTTCTTCTGGACAGTTGATACTTCTTTCCCAGACACTTCTGGAAGGGGACTGGAATAGATGCCGCCTACATTGACCCCCCCCAAACCACATGTAGGCAAATATGGCAGTCCCATGGAGTGTCTGGGAATAGATGACCATCCCCATGGTATCGGATCAGTTGCGCGGTTTCAAGTTGCGCATGACTTCGCTTGACAGAAGGCAGTCATGACCACGCCGTGACGTGACCACCCTGTGTCATCAGGTAAGATATATTTGGGAGGGTGTTTGCAGTTTACTGTTTTCGGGCTACACATGCTAGGAAGATGATGGAAGGCCAACTTCGAGTGCACCCCACAATTGAGCGTGTCAATTTATACATAATTGCAGAGGCACATGTTGGGACAAATTGCGCACAATTAGAAGGGATAGGTGCATTGGCATCCCTATTTGTTCCTTTCTTGATAGCTGCATAAGATTATGACGCAATTGGTTGCTCAACGCTCCTCGTAGCTGGTCTTCAAATGTCTCCACCCTGCCAAGAAGACTGGCCTGCCTAGGACGCTTGGTTGGTACAGAGTCTTGTTTGCATGAAGCTACAGTTCCCAACACCCGAAGCCAGATGATCTAAGATATTCTAAGATTCAAGATGATTCAATTTAATGTTAGGCTCAAAATCCCAGTCAGACGAACTACTTTGCAGATGTTCACAGTATAGAGTAACAATACAGTAATAGAGCCAGCTTGCCAAGGAGTTGGTTGTATTTCCAACTGCCCAGCTCAATACCCTGCGTTTCCATCCTATTATTGTTCCATATTGTTCCCCAAACCAACTGCTCACAACAACAATGTACCTGTGGTAAGCAACATCCTCCCAGGAGATGGTTTTCTACCTGCCGCACCCGTTCCTGGCTCCTCCGAGCCGTCCTTCCGTTTGGCTCGAAGCCTTTCGAGCCGGGAGTGGCCACCACATGATGCCTTCGCCATCGAGCCAGGGTCGGCATCACCAAGGCATGCAGAGCGCCTTCAACGCTTGGACTGGGAATGGATGGAGGAAAAGAATCCGTGGGCCGCGGTGGTCAGCAGGCGCCGGCGCATTGGTCGACTTCGACGGAAGGACGTGTTTTTGAGTTCCGGGAGGGATCTGACTAAAGTCAAGAACCTTTTTCTATAAAACAAAGGTGAACCTTTCTCTAGGTCGGACAGTGTCTCAGTTCCCCGGTTCTTACGAGTTTCAAGTCCGAGAGTTACTTGAGAAGTTTGGGGAAGAGACTGCAGTCGTCCGAGGTTCTTTGTTCTATTTTTCTCACCTTCCACCTTCGGGCCAATCTTCTAAGACATGCTACGTCGGACGTGCGACGTCTGGGGCAGTCCGACGTGCGACGTCTAGGCGTCCGATCTTGCCCCGAAGCCTGACGTCTTGACGTCTTGACGCTGGAAGTCCAAAGGCGATGATTGTGGCCACCAAGAGCAAGGGACATTCCTTTGGAGATCAACGAAAGGAAAGGACCATTCTTTGTGTCAACGAAAGTACCTAAGTACCTCCATTATGCGGTACCCGGTACCTCCATTATGGAAGGCTCGTAGGAGTGGTATGGGAGTGGGAGTGGGAGTGGTAAGGGCATGGTGGTATGGGAGTGAATAATTATCCCATAACTTTATAGGAGAATTCCATGTCTCCAGCTCCTTGAACCTATATTACTCCCATGCACAGGTACCAAGTTTGCAGGTACTTAACAAATTCCGTAGATTTTGTAATCTTTGACATTCTTTGATTTTGAGGGGAGGTAAATATACCCTCAAAGTCAACGATCGAAAGAATGGTCTGACTAGGGGACCTGATTGAGCTTCCTTTACTTCAGCTGGTCAACATCTATAGACTATAGATATCTATAGTCAAAACGGACTCATTCCTTCAGAGGTGCCCTACTCGGTTCGGGCGGTACGGCGGTGCCGGTTTGGGAACAGAGAAAGATCATAGACCAGGCTCAGTGGACAGACCTCAGAAACATACTGGACTGATTACACCTCTTTCCCAGAAATTCTGTGTTCTCCTATATAGATTCTAGGGTCACATCCTCACCATAAGGTTGAAGCTTGAAAGCAGCCCTTGCCGGCCATCGTCTCAAAAACACCGACTGAAAGACCTCATCCGATTCGATGCATTGAAACGTGCCAACCGGCCAAGCAACGCGTCTTGAGCCACACGGTGCCAGGTAGATGCCCTGTTAAAGGGAGCATGGACATGTTGCGCCCTTGGTTTTACCATGTTTTACCCATCCTCCGGTCACCAAAGGTCCGGACAGAATAGATTCTGAAGTACAGCAGCACTTCCATCTGCCCCCTATAGCTTTCGGTCATGCTATGCCGAAGCCATGGCAGCCATTAATCCCCGATCACAGCGACTCGGCGGAAGCTGTGCTGTCGCTGGGTGTTGGGATCAAAACCACTGTGGGAGGGAGGCTGAAGTAAAGGTCAGACCCTCTACCAGGTGATTTGTCAGGATGGTTACCTTGTGTAGTTGTTACTGCTGCTGTTGGTGAAATAAATGCTGGACATAACCGGACACCTTCAAAAAAGCATAACATACAGTAGCATAACTAAGCTCAACCTGAAGTAAGGATGCTCAAGAGCTACGCGTGGGGTGTGCTCAGTATCCAAACATGTTATACATCCACCTTCAAACCATGGAGCTTTATGAGAAGTCACGTTTCGTTGTTGTTCAGACCAGTTTCAGGTTGCAGATATTTTTAAGTTTAAATAGGTGTTGGACCATGGGGTAGTTCAAGGCAAGAAACCAAACAAAGTCCAGCGTGCTGAGGTTTATTCCCGAACGCTGGCCCTGTCGAAGAGATCTTGACGAGTCCAAGCTGAATCCTTGACCTTTTTGCAAGGCATCACAAGGCTTTGGAGTCCCTTTCTTGTTTGTTGTCATGCTGTGTGAAGATGACTGAAAGGAAAGAACAGCTGGTGATGCCAAGACTTTGTTGTTCACGTGGCTTCTATGTAAGCAGGCCATGGCAGGCCGGATCCATTTGCACTTGTGGAAGTCCCGAGATGGCAAGTGAGCAACTCTAAAAACCTTGCTTTAGGTTTTAGGTGTTTAGTCAAGGTTTTCAGGGAGTTACTGCAGGTTTTCAGAGCAGTTCAAGTGAGAAAGACTGTGATAGGTCCAAGCTCCCTTGTACCGGTTGTGAGAGTCGCCTTTGGCTAGTGCGTGTGCCACGTGGCCGCATGTGGCGCCACTTGTGAAGGGTCCAACCTGCAGGTTCCTGCAGGACTGCAGAGCACCTGCGCATGCACCTGACGATCGTCGTGCACGTCCGCACGCTGCGCACCGCATGAGGAACACCGCCAAGATCCCTCCCAACTTTGAGCCCGTTGATTTGAAGAACCGCGACTTCGAGGGTTTGGTTCAGGAGTCAGAGCGCATCAAACGTGATGGAAGGACATGTTTGCTTCACCAGCGCTACCCAAGAACCAAGAACCATCAACAACCCATCTGATTCTAGGGCTACTTGATGCTAGCTGCTAGCCTTCGTTAAGTTCTACCATTCTACCCCTCACACCACTCGGCCGCGCGTGCAACCGAAGGAGGAGCGACCGGACCGGCTCCTTCGACAACATGGCTTGGACCCTGAGAGTGTCTGGTCAACATGAGTGGTGTGTCTTTGGGGCGGGTGTCGTCCCCGATCAACTTTGTTGGAATACATGTTGTATCATGTTCTTATGGAAAAGGATTGATGTTTTGTTTGTTTTTGAGCCGCAAACCGTTTTCACATCAAACAGTTTTTGTCAAAAACCTTTTCACATCAACCTCAACAGAGTCAGAGGTGCTCTGAGCTTCCCAATCAGGGCAGCCGAGAAACACCACGGCCGACCCGGTCGCTTGTCGTCCACATCAACGGTCGCATGGTGAGCGAAGACTTCGGAAGGTGAACGAATGGTCCATGATATTCCATGATTCATGCGCAAGCGCTTCTTTTAGAGGGTGCCTCCTGTATAATTTTACTCCATAGGGAATCCTCTAAGGAGTCTTGATGTCAAATCCGCGTGTTTTTTTGGGGCTTCCAGGCCTTCCCGCACCTGGCAGAAACCAAGCTCCGCTCTAAAATGGAGCAGGGTCCGCTCGCCCAGTCACCGCGCCGGTCCCCCGTGTGGAGATGCGCCCCACCAACCAAGCTTGCACAAAAGGTCCTCACACAAAATCTGAGAAAACATGAGAAAACCATACCTGACGGAGTCCTTTCTCCTTTGCAAGCAGGTCCTCAGGTGAGTTTGTAGCTCTCAAACACTTTTTGCGCTAGATGTGACCTCAATGTTGCCCTATTGACTTCTCCACTATGATCCAGTCATGGATTTCAACGGCCCAAGATCCCCGATCTCATCAACGCGAGTCAAAAAGTGTCATGGCCTCAACAGCCTCATTGGATCTCGAGTTGATTCATAATACTTTATAATGAGCTCACCCAGTGGGTCAACGCACCAGTTTAACCAGTGCTTTAGTAACGCACCAGTTTGACCGGTGCTTTAGCAAAACGGGAGCTGGAAGCCGGTTTGAAAAACAGTCTTGGAAGTTTGGGGGTGAAATGCGTCCTGTACCTTGATGCACCAGTTAAACCTGTCCTTTGGACTTGCTGGGCAATATCACCTCAGTTTTGCAGAGGATTTAATGGTGTTCGCAATGGTTTTGCTTGGCAGTTGATGATTTCACCGTTTTGCATGGTGTGTGTCACTAAGAACAAGTTGCCTGGCGATGCATCCCAATGGAGGACGGCCGTGTGTGGTCCTGGGAGGGGCCACATTCAAATCAATCTGATGCCTTGAGTCGCAATTGGGGGAGTAGGCATTTAACTGGATTCGACTGGATTTAGGTTGAGTTGTGGATGATTCTAAAGTTTTTGGTGTGTTTTTTTGGCAGATCCCTTGCAAGATCACAATTACTGGAGGTTGTACCTACCACTCAAACGTCCGCCTCTATCTACAAGAGCCCAATTTCTTTGATCTGTCCGTGCGTCGGGCCCCTCCAGCTGGACGCTCCAAATGGGATGCCTTCGTCGAACAAATACGCCTTGGAGGAAGAGGAATGAAGAGGCACCCTTTCTTTTTGTCCATCACCGGTCCACAGCTGGGACCGCTTTTCGGGGAGGAGGTCAACGTCAAGGGCAGCGAGGTCGCATCCCGCAGCGGCTTCGCTCCGGTGGGTTTGGCCGCGCGGCCGTCCGGTGAGATCGCTTGGAGGAGACGAAGCTGTGATCGCAGCGGACTCGTGACGGGAGCATGTTGAGTCAGTTGAGCGTTGTCCGCCCGTCTAGTTGGTCACCTGCTGTTTTGAAGTATGTTGAAGTATTTTGTTCAGACGGTTGAGCCAAGCACAGTTTTCACAAGTCAAAAAATCACCGCCCCGGAGTGAAGGGATTCGATTCAATGCAAAGGCTGGCGTAAATGAGGGGCAACTTGAGGAGGAATAAATTTTGTAGATGACCCAGCGGGCAGGCAGGTGAACTTGTCAAAGATGCCCAAACATGCGACAGGAATGGATAGGAATGGTATGGGTTGGGTCTGTCCTATTTCCTGTAGCAGTCAGTAAACACATATCAATCAAATCAAATACCACTATTTTTGAACAAGGCCTGCAACCAAACCATCATCATCCAATAATCACTCAAACTAGGTGGTGGGTGGTGCTGGACTGTTTCAATCTATAAGATCTATCTATATATAAGTATGCAGTTTGATTCCTGCACGGCGGTCCAAGCATGAGGTATCCCTGGTTCCACTGAGTGAACGTGGTACAAGCTATAGTACCTGCTAGTGGGAAATGTCAGTGACCCAAGTATAGGCACCTTTTTGACTCTCAAATTGACTCATGACTCCCATTCGATCTCCCGCCACATCGCCCAGATGACACACCCGACTCGGACGGCGTCGACTTCTCGGAACCGACGATCCGCCGAGCCGAGCAGCGCAGGATCCCCGCCGAGCCGCCCATCTACCAGAACATCGAGGAAACGGACCCTGCGGCCGGGCTTTGTCATCCGCGGCATCCCTGCAAGGACCGCCCTCATGATATGAGAAGAAAGCGGAGCTGATATATACTATATATATATATCTGATGGTTTCAGATATAGTCTATGTGTTCAGACATGTGCAACATATATATATATATATATGTTGCTTATTCTATTTTCAACCTTTACTTCCATTGATTGAACCCACTATGTGTTTGAGACATGTTGAAACCACCACCAACTATATAGATGTTTTTCCTCGGGGCGAGCCGTCCTGCAAGCAATTTGCATGCCTCGCATGCTGGGCCGCAAGAAAGCACGGTATTTTTGAAGGGCATCGATGGTTTGCATGTGCATTGAGGGAGGTGTTTTTGGCAGTTGAATACCTGAACTACTGTGGCTTGTGGGTGAAAATTGAGCTCATTATGCCTATAACTCTGAGCAGAGCCATCCTATTTAGATACTGACACTGATAGTTTTGTCAGTTCATCCCAGTTCGCAAGCTTTAGTGTTCTGAGAGGACGCAGTCCGATTCCCTATTTGACATGTCAAATCTTGAATGCCTTCCTTGCGGCAGTCCGCGCCGCATACACTGAAGTATTAACCT